AATATTACCTTAATGAAAGAAACGTGAAAGCGGCTGAAAATGGGTTTATTCAATGAGGTCATATAACATTAATATCAATTGATTTACTATATTTTTGATCGTTGTTAATTAGTATTATATAAAAAATAATTTTCAAAAATAAATGATAAATTCACAAAAGTATCACATGATATAAAAAACATGTAAAATACGAGAGCGAGTAAGTATTGCATTGCGTATTCGCCTTAGGACGTCACGAATATAATTTAATATTTTTGATATAAACTTTAAATCCTATAAAATTACACGTTTTTATATGTATGTATATATTTATTTTGTAGCGTTTATTTAAGAATTATCCAGAAATACGTAATAATAATAATCCCTCATTTATTTGTTATAAATCATCTGAGGTTTTAATTGGAAATTTTGAAATTGTTTTATTTACTGTAAAATTGTATTCGAAGCTTTAAGCTATCCGAAAATTCGCACAACGAAAATAAAAAGATTTCGGAAATAAATTTTATAAAGTAAGTTTCTCACCCTGACAAAATATAAGCAATGATCGATTGCAGCGCCCTCAGCTGCTTAGTCTGGCCTAACCGTGTTCGTACGTGTTGCGATCAGGGGAAACAATTTTGTGTCACTTACTATTCGATCCTTCCAAGTTTTTCTGTTGATTTGTCGACAGCCGGAACTGAGATCCTCGAGAATTCGATGTGCCGAAGTGTGAAGGTATTGTTTCAGATGTTTATTGCCATCACGATACTTGTATTGTCAGGTTTCGTTTTCGTATCCCCACCGTCACTCCGTCCGTAGGAAGCCTAATCTTTTCCGAATCACTCTCGGGCGTTGTATTTTTCAGCGTGGAGGAAACACGATCTGAAAAGCGGATGTTTTATTATGAGAGTTCAAAAAACATTATTTCTACGATTATTCATTTATCACGCGTATGAACTGTGTTATGTTCATCATTAAAGGCATGTACTACACAATTTCACACAAAGTCGCCATGTGATCAAAATGAATTGTTATGATATTTATATAAATATATTTTCTGGTTCACTGAAGCTACAAGTTTCGTAAAATTACAACAACTTTATATTTCATTCTATAACTTGGCCACTTTTAAATGCTTTGTATGCCATTCGCGTCATTGGTTGGACAGACAATGTATTTTTCTATTTTTTTTATCATGAAATAATTTATTCTTTGTAAAAATTATCATTTAGTATATATTATTTAATCTTACTGTTCTTAAATATTAAGAAGTACATTGAATATTTAATAAAGTATAGTTGTAATATTAAATTTATGCTTTGTAAAATTGCACAAATTTCATAAGTATCATTTATGTTACAGGAATTCTATTAAGCTTGAAAAGGTGATTGTGGATATGAAACGGCATGAAATAAGTATTTGTTTTAAAAAAGAAGTATATTTGAGCTGTGGGTCTCAGAAACACGAAAGAGAATGATAAAATTATGATACACCACATTATCATGCATGACTAGTTATTATTGTGTTCATATCAAGTTACTTTAATAGATTTTGCGTGTCCAGAGAAACTGGCACTCAAAATATCATAGATTCATCATTATATGCATTATTATATATATACATACATATACATATATATATATATTTATCATACAAGATTTTTTAAATACAATTCTATATATATATATACGAATAGCCTTAAATGAGAGTTACTGTAAGTTTTCTGGTGCCGTTTTATATATAATCAATAAGAAAATCAATTTATGAAATAATAAAAATCACTTTTTAAATGATGCTCAAACTGTTACAAATACTTTTAAGTAGTGTACATCAAACATTGAACAAGAATCTGTTTTGACACAACTTGTGGTACAACTACAGCGAAGCAAAAATGTTTCAACTCTAAGAAGAGGATGCACAACAGTCAGAAGAGATTATGTTCTGTGATTATAGTGTTGTGCAAAATTATTCACATTTACATACTATGTATGACTGACAAATGAGTTAATTCTAATATATTTTTCCATGGAGAAAGTAACATGTTAATGTGATCATTTCTCAATAAATTTCGGATAACGCTTCATTTTTGTGGAAAGAGAAACGGTGCTCGTGATTGCGAGCACTCGGAAGGAACTAAGAGGAAGACTTTGTACCGGTACGAGAATTTCCTCAGATTTTCAAATTTGAAATTTAAAAGATCAAATGATTAACATATTTGTGTTATTTCTAGGCGCTGAAGGTACACGCGAGGAAGTCCTAATGCTGAAAGGAAACTTATCACCGTACTTAGACACTCATAACGAAGAAGAGTCGTCTTATGTAACCCTCAGCAATAGGCCAATCGGTATTTGACAATTTATAGTTACAATAAGTGTAACAATTAACATATTTACTGATCCGCCATTTTTGTTACAGTATATGTAGCCGAGTCTTCTAATACGAATCCCAAGATTAATCACATCCTCATAGATATATATTTTTTAACCCCTATCCTTTGTAAGCATTGTAAGTATCGCAATTACGTTATTAGCTACATTCTTTTTTCTACAATTATATTTATCTTTTCATGTTTCTCATTACAGGTGAAGATTATGTTTGGGGTACTGGAAGAGTGGGAGTAAAGTGCAAAGGTGAGTTGTTAGAAATACCTTCGACGATAAATATTGCTACAATATTACCTAACACTTGCAATCGTGTATCGTGAAAGAATCAATTTACCTTGCAATCGTCCGTATCGTACGTAGATCCGAAAGAAATTGGTTGGAAATTCGATTCCATAAAACAAACACGTTTAAATCCGTGAAAGAAACCGAAACGAGTTAACGAACGCAAACATTCAATTTTAACCGACGGTTACTACGAGATTCGCAGGGAAAGCAATAATCGAGATATCGATAGTTTAAATTCGCGAATTGTAAGCTGTACCGACAGCGCGAAAGAATTCGCGACGTAACCGCCCTCTACGAAGGTAAATCGTAGAACTCGATAACGCGGTTCATCGTCGTTGTTTCGATCACCGTCGAGGGCGACACCGTAGCATAGTAACACATGTCGCGGTGATTTCAAGTGATGTGCTATCGTGTCCCCCTTCACCTTACCTCGCATTCGTTTCCAGCTCAGCCGGCAGTTTCTTTTCTGAAACTCCACAACCCTCTCCTGTCCCTCTTATTCCCCACCACCGACGTGTTACCATCGTACGACCCAGGTACGTATCTACTCTCTAATGAGCTTCGTTCCTGTAGCGTTTAAATGTTTATAACTTCTTGAATGTCCGCTAAACCGCGGCTGCTATGCTCTTACGCGTTCGATCGATACTACATAATATCTATTAATAATCCTATTACCTTTGTTATTTAATCCCCCAATTGCAAAG